CCAATGATTTTTCAAAATCAAGCTCATACAGTAATTTGTCTCTACCATCCATTAGCTGCAAGAGAAGAATATTACATTTTGATTAAAGATAAGAACAGAGCACCTGAGATTCCTCCTTAATAAAATTTAGTTAAACATATTTTGATTCTAAATGTGAGGGGAAAATGGATCCCAGTATAATCAAAGCAAAAAAAAAAGTCCACAGATTATCATGTAATAATAATATATTATTATACAACTATTATATTTTATTATGTAAACAAGCAAAATATACACAGAAAATGTCAATTTTTTACAGCCTTTCTCACCCCACTTCCCCCAAAATGTGGTAACAATACATAATAAAGAAAGTCCTAGTTTATCAAAAAGAGCCATTTTGTTTCACTCTTTATATGACCCATTTCTCTTATTTTAAGTTTTTGTGCTATACTTATATGCACATCAAGCCATATTATGCCAGTTGAAAATAGCCATCAAAGCATATATTGTGGGACCTTTGTAGTAATTTGGCTTGTCTCATTACTTTAAATGATTGTCATTTGTGTGTGGTATATACACTGACAAAATTCAACAACTTCTTTTGACATCCATTCCATTCAATTAATTCATATACTTATTAACTTAATAAACGTGTTTGGAGCACCTTTTGGATGCGAGGCATTTTGTTGGGCTGTGGAGGTATAAAAATGAAAAGCAGATCCCTTCCCTGGAGCATCTATATAGTACAGTAGGGGAGCAATGTGAAAAAAATGACTGTAACACGCAAGCAAAAAGGTCACTCAATCAAATCTTCAGGTAGTCCAAAAGCATAAAAATCCACATCACCTAGCAACCGTAATTACAACAAGATCTCTATGCCTGGTGGTAATGGCACAGAAGTGCTATTGGACAAGGGTCTTGAAGGATCTGTAGAAGTTCAACAAGCTAGAGGAGGAGAAAGGCAAAGAAGGTGGCAATCAAAACAGCAAAGTAACCACAGAGAAGCATGGAGTGATGGAGGAACTGGGAAGAGTCTGGTGTTTCTGGACCCAGGGCACGTCTAGACAGGAATGGCAGGAACTGAAGGCAGACGGTGATCCAAGGGGAAATTATGAGGGTCCTTGCCCACCTTGGTTAGGAGTAGAGGTCAGAAAGGTGTGATGCAGAGAACAGGGGTAAGTTCAGATCAGAGCACTGCTGCTTACTAGCTGTGGAGGTAAATTAATTCTATGCTTCAAGTCTTAGTTTTCTCTTCTCTAAATTAGTATAACAAAACTGACATTGAAGACTTTTTCTGAAAAGAATTTGAGACAGTAAATGTGAAAGTGCTTAGCTGTTCCTGGCACATAAAAATCACCTAGAATGTTTTGGGATCTCCTGATTTTATACTGAAGGCAATGGGAAACCAGTGAAGGTTTCAGCACGTAGGATGAGGGTATCAGATCCCATGGCAGCAATGTGGAAGCCAGATTTGCAGGGGGATGAGCTTGGAGACAGGAAAATGAAGTAGGACCTGACGGACGTGAGGAGGACCTCCATCAAGTCTGTGACAATGTTCCTGCAGAGAAAGGAGAATGGAGATACATTTTGGAGAGAAAGTCTACAGACCTAATGACCAACTAGACACAAGGTGTCAAGGAGAGAGTAGAGGAAGACCTTAGATTTGTCTCTGGTCCTCTGGACAGATGGCAATGTCATTCATTTAAGTGGTGAATACGGTCAAGTCCAGATTTACAGAGTAATGAATTCAAGTTTTGACACTGGGTTTGAGGAACATGGAAGGCATTTTTGTTCAGCAAATATTTTTAAGAGCTGATAATAAAGGATACAAAGATAAGACATGGTTATTGACCTCCATGGAGCAAATAGTCCCAGGTATGTGAGGGCACAGTGGAAGTCCCTAATTACCATAGGGGACAGGAGGGGACTGTCAAGGAAGTCTTCGCAGGGCATGTAACAAGGAAATTGAGGATGAGGACGGAAGTGATATTATGTATGTAGTGTTCAGGGAAAACATGAAGCAGGAGAGAAAGTCTGGAGGTCAACAGTAAACAGA